CAGCCAATCTTTTTTTTCAGTGTTGTATTTATTTATTCTTTTATGGTACTTGATGAATCGCAGCACGTTTCATGAACGAGAATGACGGTTTTTAATTGATCCAAAATATAAGAAAAAATCGGAATAAAGGACCGCTTTAATTCACCCCGCTGGGATTGGGACAAATTTTCTGCTCTGGACCATTACGTAAAGAGACGAATCATTTTAAGGGGTTCGCCAATCCCTTCCCTCCTCCGCGAACATTTCCTAATCTAGTTCGTTGGCCAAACAAATCTACAGTTCCACGTAAATCGCTGGAAACCGTTCGTGATCGGTACAATATCAATCTTTCGCTCCCGAATTCATATATGTATTTATGCGTGACTGCATCCCGGTTGATGGGCGCGGGAAAACGATTTCTCGATGACTAGAAACTGTATTCGTTGACCGTAAAATAAAAAAGGGGGGAAAATATAACATGTCCTCTGAGCCAAATGATTTGAAGTCCGAGCGACGTAAATCGATGTAAAGGAGATATAACGATTTACAGTAGACGATAGTTACATTGTTAAACGCAAAAATATATATATAAATTATACCTATGAAAAATATGAAAAATATACACGGAATCGCCCAGCACGCATCTTGTTGGTTATCTCTTTTATTTTTCGTTGCGTATATTTTTAAAACGTTTAACGTTTCTCGTCGAGAAAATAAAAATTTAGATTTATGTGTGTGTGTGTGTGTGTATGGTATTTATTATACCGCATGGAAAGAAAGGTTTTGTTGAAGTGTCTAAATTTAACTAGATACAAATCTGAAAATAATATTGTTTGGACCATCAAAATAATTATGTATAGGGCGTTTAAACTGGTCGCTAAAATGTTAAAACTTTTTGCAGCATTGTCATCAATGTTTAAGCGTTTTACTAATTAATTTGATGCTCCAACAAAATCATTTATAGATCTCTCTCTCTGTACATAGCTAAATTTTTAGATACAGCAAAACCATTATTTTCGTGTGACAATAAATATTGTATATTTAATTAAACTTTCTACTTTTGGCGATTCATTTATTTTTGGAGATTCAAGATTTTAGAGAATTCTAATAAAATATAATAACAGAATTCTGATAAAATATAATAACATGATATATAAAGGTATATAAAGATATATAAATTGATTGATCGTAGAATTATAAATATAGAATCCATGCTATTACATTTTATCAGCGTCTTTATCATAGAATTCTCTAAAATCTTTTTCTCATTGGTTTGCTCTTTCCGTGACGCTTAGTTTGGAAAGAACTGGATTAACATAAAAGCATCTCCTGTTTATGGTCGCACATACCCCGATATATGCGTTCCTCGAAATTTCAACGTCTCGCTGGCGTCTTGTTTTCGTTCGCCCCGTATCAGAAAGTCGTGGCAGCCCTTTTTTCTTTCTGGATACGGATGGGATTGAATTTGTCAAGGCAGTGGTCAAACCACTTTTTAATGTTTCGTGGGAGATTATTTCGCTACCTCTCATGAGCGGCTGGTTCGTAACATTATCTTTTCCATCCGAGGCCCGCCCGGTGCAACAATAGTTCTTAAAAGATTACGCACGTCAATATTTTCTGTCTACGATGTATCGTCGATCTTTTAAAATTCAATAACAAATGTGTGGCGCATATATGTTTTTGAAGTGCTTAAACTCGTTGTGTATTTATACATCGATCAAGAGAGAAAATATTCAGATTTATTCTTTAAGTTTCATAAACTTTATAAGTATATTCTTTGATATTATCATAGAGAATAACATGAGAAATTGATTAATTTGGATGAGGTTTTTTTACGAGAAAGACCGAATAACTCGGAACAAATGTAGATATTTGAAAAATTATTCATCATAAGTCATCGGGGAAAAAAAATGCTTTTATTTTCGATCGATTAAAATCTAAGCGTAATTTTCGACGCAATTCGCGATATATAGCAATATTCACGGCTCAGGGGATCCATTCTCGAATCTATATCGCATATAAAAATCTATAATATAAAAAATCGTATATACGTAACGTATACTGTAGGATTTTCGTATGCGATATTTTTCAGAATTAAATAAAAGTGAACGAACGTGTAGCGTACAGCTTTTCTATAGAATTCCTCGAACGGCTTATCGAGACCGAGGCAAAACCGTTTAGGACCCATATTCCTGTCTCCAGAATTCTTATCGAAACCCTTCGACCACTAATTTAGCGTTCTAAATGCGCGTGTACGTGTGCGTGCTGTCCAGCTCGCCTCGGGACTAACGGGCCTGTAACAATGACTCAACCTATTAGGAATTCACTGTGTCTGATCGACTGGAGTTGGACGCTACGTACATAACTAGCTGACCGGTGTAATGGTATCCTAGTAAAAGCCTTAGTAAAAAATATGCTGAAATTCCTTTAATTCCTTCGGATATGAGAAAACCGACTTCTTGATCGTTCGACGAGCACGCTCTTGCAAAAAATACAGATAATGACTTTGATATCAGTGGCTTCGTTTGCCTCTTCCATATTTAATATACCGAATATTTGATAGTGGTCGAATTTAGTATGTCTGTGTGATCAGAGAGTGATATTCCTCCCTTTCCTTTTACATTTCAAACCTTTCGTCACTTTTTGTCACCTTAATTGCGACGCGTAATTGTACACTGAAGTCTAATGGATTCCAGTTCTCACATTTCTCGCTATATCTTAGATATCTTCCCTCCTTTTCCTTTTCATTCACTGCGATTCTTTCGCGGTATTAAGTAGACGAGAGTTATAAGTACATATACGACTCTCTTTGGCAAATCCTTCTCTTTGAATTTTAAATAAACATTGATGATACGTTTGTTTGTATATGGATGTTATTTTTCGATTTTAAGAGTTGAGAATACACTGAAGTGTACGATAGAGACAACATCGCAGAGAATATTAGAAATACTTTCTGATTACTTTTATAATTCTATCTCTCTTTGTACATTTAAGATCAGTCTATTCCAGAACTGAGACCATTTGCAATGGGATACGAAGATCGATAAAATTTCGATAATCGATTCCGAATGTGCGAATCGCCGTATCCAAAAATACAGAATTAAAGGATAGAAAATAAAATTCGCTAAAAACATGTCATTATTTTCAAGACTTTGTAGAACGGTTTCACGAAAATGTTATATTCGTTCGTGTTGCAACTATCGAGTTTCTCTTTCACAGACTCTGACTAGTCTCGACGACCACGCTCAGACTCAGGATGTATCCGCCAATTCAACCGGAAACGGTACAGTAGCCGCCAGTGCGACGCAATTGCTGTGCAGCTTGATCCCTGAAGAGCCCTTTGAGAAAACGGTCTTGCAGACTCGCGTTCAAGATATTGCCGGGTAAGTCCTTCAAACGCTCAATTTATGAATATAGTCTTACGCTATGTGTTCTTGAAACTACGATATTGGCGTCGCGTAAGAACCCAATCCTTTTAAATGATAATAACGTTTTTATTAACATTTATAGTCGTAAATCGAGCGGCCGAATGTTGCGAAGGAATTGCATTACTTTGTATTACGGAATATTTCACATGAAATTTTGCAATATTTGTGATCTACTTTTTTTATTCAAATTTCTCATAAAAAAACATTTCTATCACTTCAGAATTTTGTTATAAAGGAAGAAAAATTTCTTTTTATAAATTTTTTATCAGTTTTTATAACATCTCACTTTTTCAGCAAATTTCTGAAGTTAGTGCACAACTAATTTAAAAACTCATTAATTTTGCAAGCTACACATACTGATGTTTTATTAAAAACATTTATTAAATTAGTTATTAATGATGTATGAATTTCTGAAGTATCTCATCAATTATTGGAATTGCGATATTATATATATAATATATTTAAAAAATTAAAATGTTCATTTATAAAATTTCGATAGAACTAAAACGCATTAAACTAAAGCTATTTTTAATTATTAAAAGTATATACAGTGTCTTATAATCTTGATAAGATATTTTGAATAAGAACTCTTTAATAAAATGTTAGACATTAATACAACAAATATTATATATTTAACTAACAAATACTAAATATTTAACTAACAAACAGCTATTGCGCATTATGACGATCATAAAATTCTACGATGTTTCAAAAGATTTACAAAAATGTTTAATATGTGGATTTAAAAATTTGATAAACGATTCATAGTTATACTTTTTCTGAGATTTAAAAAGGCATCGTTTATATTTACTTCAATGAAGAGTTTAGCAGTATCGTAGAATATTCGATTATTAATTACAAAATGTCGGACCATTAAAATTAATCTCGGCAGGCGACCGAAGTATTATTTCACTGATTAGGGTAATCGAAGCATAATTAGCAGCGTTCCACTTCTTTCTGGATGATACGAACGCTCTACGTAATGGCGGGCAATCATCTACAATGAAATCGTAACTTTTGTAACGTGTTTTTACGCATCCTTCTGTATCTTTTTTATAGAATTCCTCAATAAGAGGGTTAGAGCCGCTAAGGTAGTATTTTTATTACAAAAAAAAACATATTATTAAAATGACGCTAAAAACGTATAAAATTTATTAAAAAAAAAACAATAATAGAGATGCACTTAAGCGACGTCACAAATTTCACTTACTCGAAATATAAGAAACGCATGAAAACATTTCGATTCGTCATTCAAAACGAACTTGCTTTTTTTTTTACACAGTTCGCTCCGTCGATTGACAGTGAATCCTCATCTTTTTCGCTGAAGCTATTAGCGTCTGACGGGTTTTCACGCATCTTATATACACTCGCTCACTCGAGTGCACGGTTCTCGTCCAAAATCCGCATCTTTTGATCTGGTTGAGTCGCTCGTTGCGCAAACACGCGCCGTCCAAGACAGTTGCGCGCCCCTTTGAACAGGAAAGAACGAAAGAATACTCGGCGTGTGCTTTCCGAGGCATCGCTGGACCACCCTGTCTGAAAATATAACCGTGCCGTGTCGCGCCAATGCCGAACTTAATACGCGAGTCACGCAAAGTGACAAGACGCAAACTGTGTTTTCGTTGCATCGCGCGAGATCCGATCTTTACCGGGGTGATGTTTCGCACCTGGGTCAACTTCCTTCATGAGGACCCCCCAAAACTCTATGTTAACCCCTTTGCCACTTCTCCGTCGCGTCTTTCATGTTCGTCCTCTGTTTCTTCGCTCGTGTCTTGCGGGGAGAGAAATCCTGTCCGCATATTCTCTCATTTCTCATCTCTAAACGTATAGGAACATCATATGTCGAACACGTCACCGAGGTTATACGCGAAAAGTATCTCTCTAAATGTACCGGATTAATTTTCATCATTTACAGATATATAAAAATTATTAAGATTATATATTCTTTAACATGTTTAAAAAGTATTTATAAAGTTATGTATTAAAAAGAAGGAAAAAACTAGAGACCATTATTTAATCAAATGTGCCTAGTATTTCAAAGAAAAGAAATGTGCATGACACGAATGATCCAATCATGTGTATTAACCTTTAGACTGCCGGCATTTTTTCATTAAAATAGTGATTCTTTTTCCTCAAAAATTTTTCTATAAAAGTAACATACACATGACGCAAAATTTCAAGATTTTTGCAAAGCCACAAAAGTGGCTTTCCCGGCAAGGAACGTACGATCAAATATGAAAAATGTTTATTTTCTCAAAAATAGTGTATTTGGGGATTTTTGGTATCAATTCTGAGCATAGATTTAAGAAATCTCGAACCCTAAACGTAATATTGATAACATAAATGAATATAAACGTATAGACTCATGCAGAGAATTTTCCTTTATTTAGCATTATCCAAAGTTAACGACATAGACGTAAAAAATTTATAGCTCCTTTTTGACTTTTCTTTTTTATTTGGTTCTTAAATTTATTTTTTGTATTTTTTTTTTACTTATTTTGTATATTTTTCAATACTTATATATTTTTATATATTTTGGGCAACATACACATATATATGTTTAATACAATTAGTATTTAAAATGCCACAAAAAATGGTATTTTAACCCACACTCAAGAGTCACAAAAGTGGCTTTCCCGCAGTCTAAAGATTAAGAGTTAAAATATATACTACTAGACGAATTTTTATTCCAGGTAAACATTAAATTAGAGTTTAATTGGGAACTCTCGATATATTTGGCTTTGCAACGCGGACAGCAGTCGGATTGATTCTTGATTTTATCAACACGAAAAAGAATATTTTTTTTTTACAATGGAAAGACCGCGGATCTGAAATTAGCAGTAATTTCCGTTGGATGTGACATCGTGTTAAAAAGATCCCAGATTCGTTATCTCTCTTTGGCGTACTTTGCAGTTGGGTGAATCTGCGAATTTCATGTTCACCGAATGTACTGTCTGGCTTTGTATAATGAATGACGAAGGTACGATCAGAATTATTGTCGACCGCGCGCACCGGTAGTGGGATTATTATGATTAATTTCCTGCCGATGTGCGAGAAAGGCCTAGTCACGATTTTTACTCAGCGGCGAGGTTGCTTTTCGCTCGTGTCTTTAAAGCGCGCAGATGTGTAACGGCGATCGATCATTTTGTACGTCGTAATACTTATTTGACGGTCGTTAAGTGCACTCGCCGTCACTCCTTCCCTGAAAAATAATACGCGAACTTTTTTTTTTTGCGCGCCAAGACCGATTTTTCCTTCTACGGACCTGGTAATATACGGTGATCCACGTTATTGTTGTTCTGATACTCTCGACTTGGAGAAAGACAAGCAATTTTACAGCAAGTGAAATGAATGATAAACGACTATCGCTTGCACGGAGCATATTCGATAATGCCTGTTGATGTTCATTCATAGATGATATCATGAAATAATTATTAGTTGGAATTGTAAATGTTGCGTAAATAAGTTACGATAATGTGGTAATGAATTGCACAATGTATAAACGCCACATCTGTTTGTACGTGAACAGCCAAAAATGATACGATTTTTATATTTTTTTTTTCATCAATCAAGCTTTGCGAGCGTTATATTTGCTCATAAGTTTTTAACACGTTGGCTACCGAAAATAAGTTAACTCATGAGTTATCGATGAATACTAGCTACTTGTCGTTTCGATTTTTTAGAGGAGGCAATAAAAATTTTATTGAGTTTTGAAGAATACATATAATTAACATATTTAAATAGTATGCTGATATAAGAATGGTGTTGAGGATAAAATTATCTAATTGCAGTAATTATACAGTAACGGTCAATGTGTCAACTAGAAGTACCAAGGCTTTCTTACTCATTAAAAGAACTCATTAAACGAATAAATTACTATAAAAATAAATAAAGTGATGACAAAACAAATATTTTATTAATATAAAAGAATTATTGAAAAGTCGAAAAATTTTCAGAACTTTATCTTTTACACAAAAAATAATAAAATTAATCTAAAAAAATAAAAACAGTCAATACTAATAATTCAATACTTTTAATGTTAATTGATATTAATATCTAGTATGAAGAATCATCACACGAATATTTTTTATTTAGAATGGTGGGTTCTCTTCGCGCAGTTTTTTAATAAACCAAAAAACTGTAGAGATGTTGTATGGTTCTCTCTGGCGATATAATATATTCTGATACTGTAACATAGAAAATATAATTATCATTAGATTTTATCGATGATGTATGAATCAGATATCTCTTAAACTTTTCGATGATATACAAACGGCTTTATAAAGTAACAGATGCGTCGTACAAAGATAAGCAGATAAAAAAATGCGTGTTTGCCTATCAACTTTTATCCGTTAGCCCGCATATCTTTCCGCGATCTCTAAGCAAAGAGGCGCCGGTAGTGGCGGGATCATTTCCTTCGTTTGCCTCTTTTTCTCTTTAATCCCAACAATGCGAAAGATAAATGAACTTTTTGTCGTAAAGTACGTGTAAAGAATCGCATCCTACTATTGTTTCTCGCGCTGTATACGTATGTGTGAACATGACGCACATGTAAATACAAATAACGCACGTCCGTCACACTTTTAATTATACTATTTAATAAAAAATAACTTTTTCGAGCACCAGAATGAAAACAATTGTTTCCCATAAGTTTTTTTAAACACTAAATACGATCCTGTTTATCAAATTGTTCTGTCATGTCATATTTTTAACTCTCTGTTGGGTATATAAAATTTTCATTCTTCGACCGCAACATGGGTCTTTGAACTTTAGTATAGATTTTGATTGTCCCGGACTGTATAAAAATTTGAAAAAATTCTTACATACTCGTGAAACTTTAACATCGAGTTTTATTATCATAGAACTTAGTTGTATTTTGTATAGATTTAAATTAAAATTTATTAGAATTTACAATCAAAAAATTGACTGTGTCTCTGCAATCCGAGAAGAGTTAA